CTGTAACTAAGATCTAGGAATGTTTACTTAACTGAACCCACAATATCTCCTACATATATCCTCCTATATAATATATATATCATATATATATCTGTACTATACACTTAAAGTTTCAGAATTCAGATATAGACAGATTCTTGTTTCTTATAACAAACACATTAGGAGACTGTCTCACATTTATTTGACATGTATAACATCACTGCACCAAAGCAGCAGCTGTAGCAGACTCACTGAAAAAGGAAAATAAAACGAAATTAGAAATAAATCAACATTGTTAAACGATAAATTTCATAATATTTAAGCAGGATTTTTAAAAAAGAGATTCCAACAATTTTCTCTTTCAAATATTTATTTATTTTTTTATTTATTTATTTGGACTTACTATTTCCAGTTAGGTGGCAGAACCTTCTTGGTTTTGTAATATCTAGCCAATCTATGAATTCTGCTCTCCACCAGAATCAATCTGAACTTGGAATCTTTGTCCTACAGATGTAAACAACAAAATGCTTAATTTCAAATAAGACTGGTGTCTTACATGAGTAGAACTTACTTACAACAAAACTAAAATTGTTTAACTTTATGCCAAATGGACAGAAGAGGAAAAACAGTGATTTGACAAAGCTCCGCTTTTCATTTTCACTTGGCATCAATTTCTAAAGTCTGTGTACTTGTACATGTATAAAAATAGTTATAGTAAAGATGATAAATTATCATGCATTACTGTAAATTGTTCAATCATATGTAAAATATAGTTACAATGTAAATAGTAAATACTGTGGGGAACAATAGTAGACAGCAAGCCTGAAGCCATCTACTTGTGAATAATTGGGATCATGATTATGAAAATTATGCTGGGAGGACAGCAACTTCTTTTTTGTTACTTCGAACTTGTGAAATTGATGCTGCTATGCAGAAAACATGTATTTTCCTATAGAGTCACTTAAAAAAGTGCTTCCTTTTGTGATTGGCATACAAGCATTATACATAAATGTTTGTGTGTTGTATAACGTCCCTCTCGAGAATTTTATATCATATAGAGACGCCACTAGATGCAGACAGAGAGCTACAAATTTTGTCCTATACTTGACACTCAGGGCCATTGAGCAGCGAGGGATCTTTAACATGCCAGTAACTTCTGCAACACAGGACCTCAGTTTGTACCGTCTCATCCGAAGGATTAATCTCCTCGTCCAACAATGGGATTTGAACCCGTGACGTTTGTAAGGATCAATTCCTTACTCTGTCCTAAAGGGGTGACTGGGCCAAACAAGTATACTCATTAGATGACTGTACCTTCCTGTTCCTCTCCATGTGTTTTCTGATGTTGACAGCCTTCTTGATGAGGTGGTACAGATCCTCGGGAAGATCGGGGGCCATGCCCTTCTTCTTCAGGATCCTCAGAATCTTATTTCCTGTGACGAAGCGGACCTGGGCCACACCGTGAGAGTCACGAAGGATAACACCTGTAATAGGGGTGAATTTATTGACCGTTTGTGGAATGAAAAGAGTGTAAAATTAATACAACAATTGTGCATACATTTTTTCCCCATATTACACAGTTTGTACACTTACATAATTACAATATGTTATATTTTGTACTTATTAAAGTAATTAATAAAATGCATTAAAACCTGTTTCTAGAATTTTGTCTAAAAATCGATATCATCCCTAATATAGTTTGATAACAATGTAACCTAAATTAGTCGGCCATGGAAGAATACCTCTCCTACAAATACTTCCACAAAAGATACTGATATGCTTAACATTTCTCATAACATACACTCCATACAAATAATACAATAACATTTTATGTACAATATGCAATACTTCATGAATTTAATTTTCGAGTTGTAAGATTATAAATAATAAATTTATAGCAAGATATCAAAATAAAAATTGAGAGGCAAATATTTTTAAAAATGTATAATGGCCAACTAGACTTATCAAGAAAAATTACTTAAAACAGGGAATCATGATAAAACAAACCAATTTGTGATGGTGTCAAGCCTTTCTTGGCCAGCTTCATAATTTGTTCTTCAACATCCTCAGATGTCAGCTTCAACCACTGAAAAAACAACAACATATATACAGTTTATTTCTGTGCATATATAGCTTGTGTACTCCTTCAGATTCTGTGTGTATGAAATAAAATCTGGGGTAAATCCCTGTACACCCTTGTTTGAACCTGGATAATATTTACTTGACAAAATCTACTCGAAAAATTACTTACTGTGGGTACTGATCTGCGATATGGCAAAGCTGACTGGGAAATACCTTTCCTGAAATGAAAGTTAAACAAATGTTATAACAAATACCTTTACGGAAATGTAACAATTACCTTCGTATTCATAAACAAAGCAAGACCCTTCCTTCTTAATCTTTGAAGGGAGGGGGCATAAATATAGTATATGTATAATCTAAAACATTTGGCTGGGATTGCAGTACAAAATGTTTGACTATATTATGTTTCCAGCTATTAGTAACCATCAGTTATTCCTTGCTCCATCAAGTTCATCCCCCCCTCCTTTAATCGATTGTGAAATTACACTTTAAATGATGGCAATCAGATAGAGCACTTTCACTAGAGAAGTTATCTATTAAGTACTTATTTTATTGACATGTGCCATACACTGTTTCAGCGTACAAGAACACGTAAATAGGAAACTGACAAGGAGGAGAAGTTTTGTGTTGTTCACCACGTGCAGGTAAATAACACAGTATTGACATTTTCACAGAGGGAGTTGCTATATTTTATTAGTGAAACTAAAAACTTTTAAGTTCCTCTTTTCATTTAACAACACTTTTATTTCGTATTATCGTTATTTGGGATAGATAAATGCTAAATTATTACGAACCCGGGACAGTGCATACGACCCATGATGGCAGCGTGTGTGAAAGAGGAAGTGACGAACTATTGGGTTAGCGCCATCTATTGGAGAGATCCAGAACATTTTAGCGGCCGACTACTTAAAAAAGGGGGGAGGGGTAATGTTAAAGGAAAACGTATTAATCTCAGCAGTTGATCTCTGATTTGAGGATATGATTTTAGTTTAGCTGTAGTAGGCGTATAACTTTTATTGAATATATTTTCACTATACAGTACGTACCCCAAATTAGATCAATAATATATATATTTTAATTATTTTTTAATGAACTATACTAATTATAACAGCATTGTAATATTGTTTTTGAAAAGGGAGAACCAGAAAAAAAATTGACAACTTACCTGAAAACAGGGACCTTTTTAGGACTAAGGTCCCTGCCTGAAAATCTTTTCATGATGAACAGCTGATAAAAATGTCAAAACATCAAAATTCAGAAATACTTACCCAGGCGCGGATCCAGAAATTTTTCCCAGGGGGGGTTCACCCCTGTCAAAAATAAAATTTCAACCCAGAAATGTCTTAACAAGCAAAAAAAAAAAAAAAAAAAAAAAAAAAAAATACAGTTGCCAAAATGTTAAAATTTGCCTATTTCGTGTGTGTGTGTGTGTGTGTGGGGGGGGGGGGGGGTACGGTAGGCGAAGACTCCAAATCTTTAACCTTTTCAGACCACTTTAATACAAGTTCACATTCACCAGGGGGGTCTACGTTTTCTGAGGGGGGTCCAAGTTAACTTTTTCCTTGCTTTTGTATATAAATTTAATAACCTGGAAATTCCAGGGGGGGGGGGGGTCCTGATCCCCCCGACCCCCCCCCCCCTCTAGATCCGCACATGTTACCAGCTGCTTACCGTGGGCAGGATCGAGTATATTCCATCTTATTGGTAAACTATGGTTTACAATCGTCAAATTAGCTTATCAAGCCAGTTTTTAATCTCTATGTATATTTATCTAAAATTAAAATCTATAAGATTCAGCATGATAAAAAAAATAACTTAAATAGTTTCTTTGAAACTGAGCCTTGAACCAAGCTAAACACAAAGCGAGAGGGAAGGACAGAAGGATTGAAGAATGGAAGACGGACGGCAAACTCTATATGCCCCGGTCATATCCATGGCGGGCATAAAAATCCTTTCGTTAAAAATTGTTGATCATATTTACATGTATATCGAAATTTTGAGAGAAAAATAACTAAGATTCTAAATAAATGCCCTACGAGGAAATGGTGGGGTCACAATCTGTGACGTTTTACATAAGGAAACAGAATCTTTAAACAATCTTAAACAATCTTCTCCGGAACAGGAAACCTATACAGTAAACCAACTTTTATTTGCGTGCGAGAAATTTTCGCGAGAGCCTCGTCATCGCGAATATTTCTCACCGCGAACCAGTCTTCAAAGTATCTTTGTCTATTTTTAAAAAAACAGATCAAAAAAGGCTTGACCGCGAAAATTAATCGTCGGGAACTATTTTACCCCTAATGAAGATGGATTGAACAGCAGGCCAACGGCCTATATAAGTTCTTTCCATTGGAGATCAAGGTAGATTACATACTAGTATTTGAGTTCTACAAAGATATAAATTGTAAACTAATATTAAAAGAGTTAAACAGTACATAATTGAAGGAAAATTGAGGGAAAACAGTAAGTAAAGAAAACAATAAATTAATTTTAAAAATGAAAAAAAAAAAAACACAAACAAACAAAGAACAAAACAAAACAAAAAAAAAAAATACAACTCAAAAACCAAAAAGAAAAAAAAAATTATTATATATAGTCATAGTTATATGAAATTCATGATTAGTCATAGTTATATGAAAGTATCCTCATCCAGGTAATAATGATTAAATTTGGTTATAGTCATAACCCCGGGGAGGGGGCAGGGTAGGGTAGTTCCACAATGAATCAAAAACAATTTTACATTTAGAAGAATACTGTTTACAAGGACATTTTTGCCCCCGTTTATGTTCGCCCCTTTTGTCATTCTCACAGGTGAGCGAATTTAAAACTGGGCGAATTCAAACAACAGAGTATAATTTCTTAACCATAAATTTAAAACAGAGCAAAATCAATGGCTAGCGTATTAAACATAGCGTGAAAAAGTGGATCGAAATATATTAGCCATGTATGTAATACATAAGAAAAGCAATCTGCGGATGAATTAAGAACAAAATGGGCCATATAGATACTACGGTTCAGCATTGTTACTTATGGGTCCCTTGTCGTACTTTGCATTCAAAGCTCAAACACCACTTGTTTTTGTTTTTGTTTATACAGGGCATGCATACATAGAATCCTCCACCAGAAGGAGATAACAGTCTCAAACATTGAATCCAGTTGACATGGACAGAAAAATATGGTATAGTCTCGTCAGATTCTTCTAGCACTCAAATAATTGTGACAAGAATTTTGTGTAGGACGACTTGAACAAAAGAAAAAAATAATAAAATAAAAAAGGGATTTCCCAAAATACAACCCTCCGAAATTCCCCCTCACATTTCTGTGTTTTCGGTCTTTTTGACGAGAAAATATCTGAAGAGAAATTATCTAAATGCAAACTAATGAACCATAAACAGTTTTGAATATGAACAGAAATGACAAATATTTAAAAAGCTCGCATTGTCAGGTTTCAACTGCAAAGCAAATTATGTGTTCTGGAGATTTAAAAGTGCTTTTATTTTTCATTGCAGTTACCTGTTTTAATACATACTATGGTAAGTTTGGAAACAAAAAAGTCTTGACGACGTTATAGACTCTCATCTCTCTCTCTCTCTCTCTTTCTCTCATAATAAATATTATTTAGGTAATGGTATTTAAAAATAACTACCCAAAATATATTTTCGTACAAATCTTGTCAGTTAGTTGCTTTAACATGATGTTATTACAAGATACCGAGTCCCTAGTTGTGATGATTTTTTTTTTCTGACAAATCAACTTATTATCTAAGTCGATCAAATAAAAAAATCTTACAATGATTGCAGAAATATGCTACAATTAATCATTACAAAAATTACAGAAAAGAATAACGTTGGAAAGTTCTTACATATTATTGTATAGATATAGTAAGTTATATAAAAAATAAAGTTTTCTCGTTTCCACTTCTAGCTCTGAAGTTTAAGACAAGGTATAATTATGTTTCACATAGATATACATACAATATATGAAAAAATATATATTAACATCAGTTATCTTTAAATATGTAATAATATTTTTAAAAAATACACGATTTACTAAATTCAACCTCCTCCTAAAACCGAGTGTATATGAATTAATTAATGCTAATGCATATATCCATCCCCATTCGAATTTAATTTTATTTCAAAAGAATAAAACAGAATCAAAAGATAAATACTCATTTAAGTATAAAACCAAATAATTTAATTTAACGTGTAACACGTCATTTGACTGGATAAAAGATTTTGTTATACCCTTATAAATATCATTCTATATATTTATTACTTATAAAAAGTCCAACAAAAGAACTGTTTATTACATCAACAATTTCACTACTTTGCGTCACTCGTCTGTTACGTCACAAGTAAGTAATCATCATTCAATATCGGCGGCGCGAAAATAGCCGAAGAAAAGAGCTACAAGAGTTGTTGCTAAAAGCAAGGTAAGGAAGAAGGGAAGAGTATGTTTTGTGATATAAGTAATTTTTGTCAATAGATATATAATTGATTTTGTTCTTTCTCAGCTTGATGTTTTATATTTACGTAATTTTAAATAAATAAAAAAATAATTGATACCTTTTGATTAAATTGATCATTCAAAAGGTATAACAAAACAGTGTGAAGCCTTAAAATGTTGCCCTTGGGCGGCCTCGAAAAAATGTTGCCCTCATACCCAGTCAATAACTGTATATTATCCATTTTGTATAACATAACTTGCGTCACAATGAGTTACGTCAAAAAAAGTATTACTCAGCTTGACGTTACCTTTAAAATTTATTCAATGTGAAGCCTTATTTCAAAAATTGTCTTATGAAATTAAATTATAAGGAATGAAGCTTATTTCAACTTATATTAAACGATATAACAACACTAGGGGTAGTTTACGCTTTTCTATAAACCGCTTTTATAAAGCGTAAACTGCCCGAAGTTATGTTATATCGTATAAGTTGAAATAAGCTTCATTCCTTAATGGGAAGATATATGTATATAATCCAGCAAATGAAACATTCTTTTTTTCCAGGACAGGACGTGAGACTTGTGGGGGATGGATCCTTCACTAATATGGGGAGGCTGGAGGTTTCCGTCAATAACACGTGGTATGCGGTGTGTTCATTTAAACGCTATTACGGAGATGATACGACAGCAGCATTACGTTCGAATCTTGGATGTAAAAAGTATATAAAATTATTATTCTGTCTATTTCAGACTGAATCAGAAATAAGTTTCCTTCTCAAAGACCAAAATCATAAAGAGCAAAACACACTGTTTTCTGTGTATTAGTATTATTTAGAATAGCTATTTTCCCATTTGTAACTTGCGACCGTTATTGCGACAGGCACCTTACTAATGCATTAATTCGTTACTGAAGCTCTACTTCTTATCGCTGATTTAAAATTACCACAAACTGGGTTTACCGGATCCGCGTTTGAGTTGACGAGCGCCGGCGTGGTGCAGTGGTTAAAACGTCTGCTTTAGAGTTGCGAAATAAGGAGTCGATCCTTACGTCGCGGGTTCGAATCCCACTGTGAAACGTTGAGACCGGTGCTTCGGATGAGACCGTATAAACCGAGGTCCCGCGTGTCACAAAAGGTGCTGGCCAAAAAAAACCCTCACTGCTCAATTGCCGTAAGTGTCAAGTATAGGACAATATTTGCAGCTCTCCATCGGTAAATTCTGGCGTCTCCAGAAAAGTGAAAAATTCTCGAGAGTACGTTACACAAAATACAACCAATCAATCTGAGTTAGCGGGCGACGCGTCATCGGAACCAGTGAGACAACGGTCACAAATAACAAATGCCTGCCCGCTACATGCAAGGTACGAGGGCTGTACAACAAATAATGTCCTGAACTCTATGACATACAACATAGAAATCATATGACATTAAACTTGACTTTCTCTAATGATTAAATCTTTTATGAATTGATAAAAGTTTGTGCAACCACTTTTCATCAAATAGTTTCATTTTGAGAAGCTGGAAAACAAGGGATTTCCCAGACACTGCATTAAAAATGAATGGTAGAGAATCAGTTAAGTAGAGTAAAATTATACGCTTCATTAAAGCTGCTGTAAAACTTGTTAAGAGTGCAAAAGAAATATTCACTGAAATATGTGAAATTTACAGCAACCAATGTCTGTTTTATAGAAACCTAAGCAGGTGGATTTCAATGAACAAAACATAAAATAATGGGCATCAAAAATGGGTATCCTCCTTGGCTACAAGAACTTGAAAAACCAATGTATATTAGCGAAAATTCAACAAATTATCAATGATGACAGTTCAATTTCAGGAGAAGTCCAAAAAACAAAATTTTTACTAAACAAGAGGTCCACGGGCCTTATAGGTCACCTGAGTATCATGTAAAAATTTCCAACAATTGAATTTGGTTTGTGTTTTAAACCAGAGGCCATGAAATTCACAATTTTGAAAGAGGCACTATTGCTTATCATAATTATACACTTAGCAATGCTTACTAGATAGTCACTTAACACCCATAAGTAGATCAGAGTAACTAAGAGAAAAATGCACTTCCATTCTAAACCATGCAATTGTGCACCCCACCCAATCCCACAGAACCACAGACCCTGGGGCCACATATTTCAAAATTTTATCATCATAAATGTTATTTCATCAAATATGGTTGATTAATACTAATGAGCAGATTTCAAAGCCTTCATTTATTTTCAGACTATGTAACCCCCCCCCCCGGTACCCCTGACCCAGGGGGCATGAAATTCACCATTTTGCTAGATGCACCTTTCCTCATCATAAATATATATATATATATATATATATATATATATATATACATGTACTTAGATCATTGGCATAATATCCAGGAGCAAAGGAAAAGATTTTCAAAGAATTAATGTAATGTAGAGCCCCCCTCTCCTTACACCAAATAGCTAAACCCCTGACATAGGGGCCATGAAATTAACATGAAGAGGCACTCTTGCTCATTATAACTATATACTTACTTAGTTTATTTAATACCCAGGATCAGAGGAGAAAATTTTTGAAAAAATAATGCATTTTCACTGTATAATCTACGTAGCCCCGCCCTAGCACTAGAACCCCTGACCCTGGGGCCAAGAAATTCACAAATTTGGAAGAGGCACTCTTTCTCATCATAACTATGTACTTAGTTAGTTTATTTAATATCCAGGAGCAGAGAAGAAGATTTTCAGAGATTTAATGTATTTTCACTATATAATCAATAGAGCCCCATCCTAACACCAGAACCCCTGACCCTGGGGCCATGAAATTCACAAATTTGAAAGAGGCACTCTTGCTCATCATAACTATGTACTTAGTTAGTTTATTTAATACCCCAGAGCAGAGAAGAAGATTTTCAGAGATTCAATGCATTTTCACTATATAATCAATAGAGCCCCGCCCTAACACCAGAACCCCTGACCCTGGGGCCAAGAAATTCACAAATTTGGAAGAGGCACTCTTTCTCATCATAACTATGTACTTAGTTAATTTATTTAATACCCAGGAGCAGAGAAGAAGATTTTTAAAGAAATAATGCATTTTCACTATATAATCTATATAGCCCCGCCCTAGCACTAGAACCCCTGACCCTGGGGCCATGAATTTCACAATTTTGGTAGAGGACTCAATGCTGATTACAATCAACCAACAGTTTGACTGCTTGATGTCCAGGAGTAAAGAAGAAGATTTTTAAAGATTTCATTAATATTAGTGGTTTTGGCCCCACCCCTCAGGCCCCAGGGGGGCGGGGACCGTCAAATTCACAATTTTTGTTCCCCTTTACCCATAGATACTGTATACCAAATTTGGTTGAAATTCGTTCAGTGGTTTCAGAGAAGAAGCTGAAAATGTTCAAATGTTAACACACGATACACGACGGACGACGGACGAAAACGGATAGGAATAGGTCACCTGAGTGACTCATACTCAAAAATATGTTCTAAAAACAATCAGAAATTGGAAAAAAAAGTTTCGGGCATGTTTTAATTAAAAGAGCAGTGGCGGATCCAGAGGGGGAGGGGATTACGGGGGTTGCACCCCCCTTTGAATTTGCAAAAAAAGAAAGAGAAAGAAGAAAGTCCAAAATTTTTGTTGTGTTTTTACTCTAGAAAACGTTCAGTGAAAGGCTAATTAATGTTGTATTATATAAAGAAATTCGGTTGTGAATACAAAATGAAACCCCACCCTCTCTATAAATTAAGATTTTCGGGTTCGGAGATATATTTTCCTTATTTAAGAGAAAATATTAGTAATTTAACTACGTGTATATCTAAAATGTACGTTAAAATTACTCTTTTCCCCTTCAACCCCCCCTTTGAAAAATCCTTCAACCCCCCCCCCCCCCCCCCCCCCCCCCCCTTTTGAAAAATTTCTAGATCCGCGCCTGAAGAGAATATTTAAGGTCAAGATCTAGTAAATGACTTTGACTGATTTTGTGGTGCTAGATCTGAAATTGATGATAAATTAATACTAAAAATAGAAAATATATCAGAGGGTCAATATTTACATAATTATATGTTGCATGTTAACATTATTTATCTTAGCATGTAGGGAACAGAAATATGCCACCATACAAATGAGAGATGCTAGTATATAGTTACTCCCATTCTAATGTAATTTATGCATATTGTTTGATTATTACTTATTATTTAGTTAATTTGCATTTTGTTATATACACTACCAATAAAGGTGTTCTTTTTAGCAAATTATTTGCATTAGAACATTGCATTTACATTTTATTAAATTAAGTACGTGAAGCGTAATTTTGAATTTAGTAGATTGCAGAATTTGCCGAATAAATGAGTATGATTTAACTTGCTATTAATAAGATATCTTCCTACATTCTTTTTAATAAGATTCAAAGCATTTTCAATTAAGTTAGGGAATAACTTAAGCGTCGCCCGTAAAACTCAGTTTTCGACCGATTAATTAGCGTCAACGGTCCCAATTACCAAATTAGAATATATTGTTATTCCCATTCTAAATTAAATGCAACATATGCATTTTGTTTGATGTTAACGTTTTGGTCTAGCTTTTGTGATATCATCATGAAAAGCATTGCTCGTTTAAATGCCTAAAAAATAATCAAAGTATTAGCCAGTCAATTATGTCTTACAAAACAATTGCATTAGAATTTAAAGCAGTCATAAGTTTTTTTGTAAAACGGGTCCATATATTCCATGAAATTTAATCTGTACAGCATATAATTAAACCCAAAAATCTTTTAATGGGGATAAAATATCCAAAATTCATTGCAAACTATGGTAAAACCTGATAAGATCGATTTTATTATTATTTTTTTAATCTAAATAAAAAGTATGATCATATTTTTAAAATCTCTCCTATTCCCTAGCAGATAAATCGCTTAGAAAACAACTTCATTTGAAAAGTTTAAAAAAAGGGAATTCCTTTTTTTTCGGGCGTGAATCACTTGGTTTTACCAACCTCTATTTATGGTAACGTTTCCGGTATATTGAAATTATGGTAAACATGACCTAAATATCTTAAACTATTTTCAGGAGGTAACTAAAGGCGTTTGTAATTCATGGCCAGCAGAAGTGACAAAAATCAAAACAAATAAACACCCTCTTACACCACAACCTCACTTGCACAGACACTCAAATCCTGTGGAGTACGAGGAGCGTTCAATATTTAACATTTTTATTCAATTTCTAATTTTTTTAGAACACATTTTTGAGTATGACCCTTTGTAAACTGGAATATGGCAGATTCTATGATTTTCTGTACTTGTTTTTTCCTTTCTGATAGATGTTTATCTAAGTTTGAAAAATGAAAAAAGTAAAAGGTTGAAAGATCTGGCAAATTTTGTTGACGTGACAAAACATTAACTTTCTGTTTATCTCCCAAACTCCTTTACTCATCATGGCTTGTGGGTTTTGACGCTGTCATGAAGAAATTTAATGTAGTGAATTCCTCATTCTGTTTCCTTCCTCTCATAAACCTTTCAATTTTTGGGGAAAAAATTGTTTTCTAAACTCCTCCAGAAATTGAACTTCCTGCCCAAATAAATATGAATTTGAACAATAAGACAGCTAATATTTAAGAAAAAGGCATATAAAACTGTTTTTGTGCTCTTGCAATTTCTTGCTCTTTGTAGGCCTTTGCAGTTTTGTCAAGTACATCTTATTGTAAATTTGTTTTGAGGGTTTAAAGCAAAA